CCTCGCGTATCCCCACCAGCCGCCAACTAGAACTGTTTCTACGCCCCGGACCGCTGCTGTCTCCGCCTGCGCTCTCGCTTGCGGACGCGACCGAAAAAAGTATCCCCACCAGCTGCAGACCTCCCAGCCAGCTCCCCCCAGCAGCTGCCCCACAGCCGCCGCTTCTGAGCGCTGGCCTGGCCGTCTTGCGCGTCGCTCGGTAGCTAATTAGGCTGGCCCGTGCCCCGGACCCCCCTCTCGGCGACAACTTTACGCGTCTGCCGGCGACCAAAAAAAAATATCCCCACCAGCCGTTCCCAGTGATGGTGCTCCTGGCCACATCCTGGTATCGCCCCCGCGCCATTTTGGCTGCGCCCCAACCTCGGTTGGCTAATTTTGCATGCGCTCGCTCCTGGGCCTAGTTCCTGGCAGCTGCAGCCCGCACCCCCTCGCGCTGTCCGGCCCGCTTAGGTGCTGCTTAGGCCGCCGGTTAGTCGGCGTTAGGCAATTAGGTTCGCGCGTTGCCCGCTCGACCCTTCTCGCCGCTGGCGCGCTCGCCTGCGGTTGCGACGGGAACAAAAATCCCCACCAGCCCATCCAGAAACGATGTCCATGCGAGTTGAGGTGATCAGGGAAGTGCGGGAGCAAAGAGGGGGACGGCCGAACCGTGTGAAGGAGGGAGGAGGAGAAGGAGGAGGCTGGACGGATGCATGAGGGAGTGGGGAAAAGGAGGAGGAATATGATGAGGGGGACTAGGAGGACGAGGAGGAGGGGGAGGGTGAGGAGGAGGAGGAGGAGGAGGAGGAGGAGGAGGAGGGAGAGGAGGAGGGGAGGAGGATACGGAGTAGGAGGAGGAAGAGGATCATGAGGAGGGGGGGGAGAAGGGGAGGGAGGAGGAGGAGGAGGAGGAGGAGGAGGAGGGGGAGGAGGAGGAGGAGGAGGAGGAGGAGCAGGAGGAGGAAGGTAAGGAGTAGGAGGAGGAAGGAGGATCATGAGGAGGAGGAGGAGGGCAGGGCAAGCAGAAGGGCCAGAGGTCTCTTGGATGCCTCTCTGAGCCTCTTGGGGCATCCCTTGGGCGCTTCTTCGTGGCCTCTTGGGACGTCTTGGGGGTCTCTTGGCGGTCCTGGGGGGCTCTTGGGCTGGGGTCCTCCTGGGGGCCATCTTGGGGCCATCTTGGGGCCATCTTGTGACCTCTTGGGGCCTCCTGGGCGCCTCTTGGGGTCATCTTGGAGGAGATCGATCAAAAAAGAGGGGAGCTTCTTTTAGCGCTGCCCCCCCAAGAGGCCAATATTGGGCCAAAACTCGAGTAAAAACAATGAGTTTGGCTTCCTCGCCGAGGCCGTTTTGGACGCTCCAATGGGTCGCGGCACCGCCCGTCCAGGTCCAGGGGGGGGGTAGGGGGGAAAGGTAAACCCCTCCCCGAAGGGGAAGAAGGGGTTTGGAAGAGGAGCCGCCCTAAGCCACCTACGCCCAGAGGGCTGGTGGGATTTCGCGCGGAGCTCCAGACGTTTATGTTTACGCGCTTTGTGTTCGTTCTTCGACTATCCACCGACCCCTCACATCTCGGCGGCGCGCGAGGGGGGAAGCGAGCAGAAGAATGCCTTCGCAGAAGGCTTGGAAGTCCCCTGGCCTTCTGCGAAGTTCTCTGAGCCTTCCCCGAAGACGCAGAAGACTCGTCTGAAGGCCGGGAGGATTCTGAAAAGCCCCGCCGCCTTTGAGAAGGCCTCCTCCTTCTCACTTCCCCCCCTCGCTCGCCACCGACCATCGCCGCCGCCGCGTTCTCCCTTCTCCGTTCGGGTGTTGCTAGAAGTGCCCCCGGTCCACGGTGCCCCCAGCTTTTCGCTCCGTTTTGGAGCCCCTGGGGCCCCCTGGGCCTCGTGAGGGGTGCCCTGGAGGCCGTCTGGGCCACCCCGAGCATCCTGGGAGCACCCAGGGCCAGTGGTGCTTCTAGAGCAACGCCCGAGCGGAGAAGGGAGAACGCGGCGGCGGCGATGGGAGGGGTCGGTCGATGGTCGAAGAACAAGAATCGGGTCTACCCAAAAGAGGGTCCAGCTGAAAGGGGGTGGTGCAATAGATTTTGGGCCATTGTATTGCAAATGCAATGCGCCGGAGAATTGTACTGCATTGTATTGCGAGTAATGTACTGCACGCGAAAAGTCCAGCCACACATCTGCGCCGGGGAGTGTATTGCACGCCCCACGTGTGTGGCAACCCCACAAATCTGTTGCACCAGATCTACTGCACCACCCCTTGTCGCTGGACCCCCTTTTGGGTCAACCCGACAGATCGGGCGAACTATGCACATGCACCGACCCTGACAACGCCCATCCTTGACCCAGGACCGGTGCATACACCTTCCTGGCATGCGCCGAGCCTGGGCTCGGGATGGTCCTGGCCAGAGTCGGTGTATGTGCACAGCTCCCTTTCCTCTCGACAGAAGCCCACACTTTTTTGGTCTGCGGGTCGGGAGCGGGCCCCTTCCGGTCAAGAGCTAAACGGGACGCGGGTAGCCCCAATTGGGGAGACAGGGCGCGGGCGGGCGGGGCCTCAGGCGGCCGGAGGGCTCAGAAAGCAGGCGGTGCCGAATAACTCACAAGCGCACACACACAAACGCCCGGAGCTCCGCGCGGAGCTCCTGGGACGGGGGGCGTGCCGGGCGCTGGGCTGCCCCGACGTGGAGCGGTGGCCCCCGCCCTCGCCCTCTCCACCGCGGCCCCTCTCCGCCCGCGGCTCTCTCCACGTGCTGCCGGCGCCCGGGCGGGCGCGGGCCTCTCTCTTCTCTTGCGGCGCGCCGCTCCCTCGCCCTCCTCCTCCCCTGGGGGCGAGAGAGAGAGAGAGAGAGAGAGAGCCCGAGACGCCCCCCGCCCTCCCCCTTCGGCCGCGGCTCTTCCGTCTGCGGTTCCTTTTGCCGGCGTCTGCCTGCGCAGGCGCGAGCCCCTTTTTTTCGGCGCGCGGCTCTCTCGCCCTCCTCCTCCTCCCCTGGGAGAGAGAGAGAGAGAGAGAGAGAGAGATAGAGGGAGGGAGGGCTCGCTTTTTTTTGAATGTTTGAAGTGCTTGTTTGATTGTCTGAAATCAAGTCAGCCATGAAAACGCCTGAGGAGCATGTGTGTGCTGTGAAGAAGCTGGATCGGGTCTGCGGAAGGGCATAGTGCTTCCGCTTCTGCGAGGGCCTCTTTTCAGGATCGGCGCTTTGCTGCAGTCGTTCAGAATTGCGTTCTCGCCCTAGCGGGGGATCATTTTTCTGGATCCGTGCCCTTCCTCATCGTTGTCGCCCCACCCCTTTCTCATCATCTGCCTTCCCATGGTCCTCCTGCTCCTCCAGCTCCTCCCACTCGTGCTCCTGCTGCTGCTGCTGCTGCAGTTCCTCGTCCTCCTCCTTCCTCCCACTCCCTCTGTTCCTTCCGATCGCTCTCCTGCTCATCCGCCTCCTCGCTCTTTTCCTGCAATGTGCACGTCTCCCCTTTGACTGCGCCTAGCTCGATGGTGCCTCTTGGGGTGCTCCAGGTCCACTGCGACGCCCGTCGGCGGGTGGAGAACGCATCGGCGCACCGGGAAGGGATGGGTTGGGAGGGGTACATCGGATGTCAGATGTGGCGCGGCTCTCTCCCCTCTCTCCTCTCTCCTCTCTCTCCTGCGGCCTGCGCCCCTTGGCAGCCGAGGTCAGGCCCCTCGAAGTCTCCTTCCCCCCCCCCGCCCCCGTGTCGCCCGTCGTTCCGACGAGGCTGGGGCTGGCCTCTGTGCGCAGGCCCAGACCTTGGGGGTGCTGTGCGCACGTGCCCCGCCCGAGGACCCCTGCGCGAGCACGCAGGCCTTGCCTTGGCTGTCCCCCATCCCCTCCCCCTACCCTCTTCTCCCCTTTTCACTATCGTCGGCCATCCCTTCTCCTCGTCCTCCTTCTCTCTCTCTCTCTCTTTTTCTCTCTCTCCCTCCTCCCCCCTGCCCCTCCCTGTTCATCTTTCTGCCTCCTCGTGGGCCATTCTTTCTCTCCCCTCCATCCATCTCTCTCGCTCTCCAGCCCTCTCTCTCTATCTCTTTCTCCCTCTTTCTCTCTCAGTGTGCGTGTGTGTCTCTCTTTCTCTCGCTCCCCCTCTCTCCACCTCTCTCTCTCTCGTAGGTATGTATGTATGTATGCATGCATGCATGTATGTACGCATGCATGCGTGTATGTGTATGCTTGTATATATGCATGTATGTATGGATGTATGTCTCTAGGCATGTATATATGTATGCAGGTACGTTTGTGCATGTACGTATGCGGTATATATATGCTTGTTTTTATGCATGTATGTTTGTATACTAATATTCACATGTGTGTATGTATGTATGTAGATAGGTAGGCATGCATGTAGATGAATATACACACATGTATGTATGTATACACGTTTGTATGTGTGTGCTTGTGGGCATAGATGTATGTATGTCTGTACTCATGTAGTTGTGTATATAGATGCATGCATACATGCATGTTTGTACGTGTGCATGCATGCATGCATGCATGTATGTATGTTTGCATGCGCGGACGTAGTTATGTATGTAGATATGACTGCATGCAACTATGTAGGTATGTCATGTATGTATGCATGCACGTATGTATGTATGTACGCATTTATTTATTTAATGCAATTATGCATGCATGTATGTACGTACGTACGTACGCATATCTGTATTTGTATATATGTATATATATATATATTCATATATGCATGCACGCATTCATGTATGCATGTATGCATGCATGTCTGCATGCATGTATGTATGCATGCACGCATGCCACTATGTATGGATGCATGTAAGCGTGTATGCATGCATGCATATATCTATGCACATATGTATGCATTTCTGCATGCCCGTACGTATGCTTGTATACAAGTATGCATGTATGCATGCATGTGTGTATGTACGTGTGTCGGTTTGTGTGTGACTATACATACGTATGCATGTATGTATGTATGTATGTATGTATGTATGTATGTATGTGTGTGTGTGTGTGTATATGTATATGTATATGTATATGTATATGTACATGTACATATACATATAACGGCGCACCGGGTCCGGGGGCCCGGGGCCGGGACCTCGACCGCAAATGTGCACCCCGGGGGGCCCGGAGGCTCGTCGGGGCTTGCCGGAGGCCTCCCCAGTCAGACAAGACGGCCCAAGAAGCGCCCAAGACGGCCCAAGAAACTTCCAAGAGGCCTCCAAGAGGGCTCCGAGATGCTGAAGATGGCCTCCAGACGTCCAAGGACGCCCCCAAGAGGCCCCAAGAAGCCTCCAACATGCGTCCCAAGAGGGCCCCTAGACGCAAAAATTGGCCCATTCCCTTCGTAAAACGTACATTTTCAACAAAGTTGTCTTTTGGGCTTTCCGACGTTACAGGACGGCCCAAGAGGCGCCCAAGACCGCCCCAAGACGGCCCAAGAAGCTTCCCAGAGGGCCCCAGGACAGCCCAAGAGGGCCCCAAGACGGCCCAAGAGGCGCCCAAGATGGCCCAAGAGGGCCCCAAGACGGGCCCAAGAGGGGGCCCAGAGGGGGACCACGAACCGCAAGCTCGAGCCTTCCGCCCCAAGAGGCCGCCAGGAGGCCCCCAGGAGGCCCCTCAAGAGGCCCCAGGAGACCCCAGACGTCCAAGGACGCCCCCAAGAGGCCCCAAGAAGCCTCCAACATGCGTCCCAAGAGGGCCCCTAGACGCAAAAATTGGCCCATTCCCTTCGTAAAACGTACATTTTCAACAAAGTCGCCTTTTGGGTTTTCCGACGTTACAGGACGGCCCAAGAGGCGCCCAAGACCGCCCCAAGACGGCCCAAGAAGTTTCCCAGAGGGCCCCAGGACAGCCCAAGAGGGCCCCAAGACGGCCCAAGAGGCGCCCAAGATGGCCCAAGAGGGCCCCAAGACGGGCCCAAGAGGGGGCCCAGAGGGGGACCACGAACCGCAAGCTCGAGCCTTCCGCCCCAAGAGGCCGCCAGGAGGCCCCCAGGAGGCCCCTCAAGAGGCCCCAGGAGACCCCAGACGTCCAAGGACGCCCCCAAGAGGCCCCAAGAAGCCTCCAACATGCGTCCCAAGAGGGCCCCTAGACGCAAAAATTGGCCCATTCCCTTCGTAAAACGTACATTTTCAACAAAGTCGCCTTTTGGGCTTTCCGACGTTACAGGACGGCCCAAGAGGCGCCCAAGACCGCCCCAAGACGGCCCAAGAAGCTTCCAAGAGGGCCCCAGGACAGCCCAAGAGGGCCCCAAGACGGCCCAAGAGGCGCCCAAGATGGCCCAAGAGGGCCCCAAGACGGGCCCAAGAGGGGGCCCAGAGGGGGACCACGAACCGCAAGCTCGAGCCTTCCGCCCCAAGAGGCCGCCAGGAGGCCATCAGGAGGCCCCTCAAGAGGCCCCAGGAGACCCCAGACGTCCAAGGACGCCCCCAAGACGCTTCGCGTCACCAATTTCTTCTCGCAACGATTCCTGGGTCTGTGACTCGACAGAACCTAAGCGCGCGCGAAGCGCGCGCGTGGTTCTAGTGTACATGTATATGTATGTATGTATGCATGTATGTACGTATGTATGTATGTATGTATGTATGTATGTATGTATGTATGTATGTATGCGTTATATGTGTATATATATATATGTGTATATGCATGTATCCATGTATGCCTGTACGTCGGTATGTATGCTTGTATATCTGTACATTTGCATGCATGCATACATGCATGCGTGTATGGGTGAGTGTATGCACGCGTGTGTATGTACGCATGCATGTATGCATGCATGTACGCACGCATGTATGTAGGTAGGTAGGTAGGGAGGTATGTATGTATGTATGTATGTATGTATGTATGTATGCATGCATGCATGCATGCATGCATGCATGCATGTATGTATGTATGTATGTATGTATGTATGTATGTATGTATGTATGTATGTATGTATGTATGTATGTACGTATGCATTTTTGTATGTATGTATGCATGCATGCATGCATGTATGTATGCATGCATGTATGTATGTATGTCTATACATTCATATGTATACACATAGGTATCCCTCTCCCTCGGAGGATCGGAGGATGGAGGGAAGAAAATATTAGCTTGTTAGCTGACTGGGCGCCAGCCGTTGTGCCCAATGGGCTGTGCAACACGGACGAGGGAGGGAGGGAGGAGAGTGCGCGCGCATGGGGTGGGGGGCAGGAGAAAGCAGAGGGAGGGAGTGAGCAGGAGACGGAGGGTGGGGAGAGGGGCAGCGGAGGAGGGAGGGAGGGAGGAAGGAAATAGAGAGAGAGAGAGAGAAAGAGATGGAGAAGGAGAACAGAGAGGAGAGGCATATATTTATACACACATATATATAGAGAGAGAAAGAGAGAGAGAGAGAGAGAGAGATAGAGAGGCAGAGACAGAGAGGGAGGACAGGCAGGGACGGAGGCAGGGAGGGAGAGAGGGAGGAGAGGCAGGAAGGCAGGGAGGGCCTGCCCGCCGCTCGCCCTCGGCGAGAGACAAGCGGGAGGTGGACGTCCGCGCCCCGTCGCCGGCGTGGCTGCCGGCCAACGCCTTCAACGCGGCCACGCGCCGCAACCGGCCGCTCCTCGAGGCAGGCGCGCTGGTCCACGCGCGGGTGGAGACCGCGGTCTTTGGGGGTGGGGGGCAGAGCTTCCCAGACCAAGGGCTCCCACGAGGGCGCGAAGTTATTCGCGCTTCGCGGTCCTCGTTCCTTCTCCCCCTCCTCGTCCTCCTCTTCTCCCTTTGGGGGGGCGGGGCGAGAGCGCGAAGTCATTCGAGCTTCGCGCTTCGCGGAGCGCGAAGCGCGACGAAGTTAGGGGGCCACATGCGGACCCTACCCCTACCCCCCGCGATTTCTGAGGGGGAGGGTGGGGTTAACTCCGTTCGGGAGCTCCCGAGCGGAGTGGACCCCACCCTGCCCCTCAGGAATCGTGGGGGGTAGGGGTAGGGTCCGCATGTGGCCCCCTAGGCGGGGGGGGGCCGGGCTTCCCAGACACCTCGGGGGCAACCATTGGGGTTCGAGGCTCGCGGGCCTTCTCCTCGGTTCCCGGCGATCTTCCGGCTTCGGGGTGCGTCCCGAGCAGCCGCCGGAGGCCCGAGTCATGGCCCGGAAATTGGACGAAGAGGATCACTGGAGGGGGGGGATGTTAGGGGAACGAACAATGACATAAACATAAAAAATGGGAGGTCCGCGCGGATTTCCCGGATCGGTGCTGGGGCCCCCTTGCGGCGCCTCCGGCGCCGCCCCAGGCGCGCTCCGCGCGCCAGGGAGGGGGGTCCAGCGCTGGTCCGAGAAATCCGCGCGGACCTCGGAGTTTTTATGTTTCTGTCATTCTTCGTTCCCCTACCACTGGAGGAGGGGGGATGTGGCTCTTCCTCTTCTTCTTCTTCTTCTTCTTCCTCTTCTTCTTCTTCTTCTTCCTCTTCTTCTTCTTCTTCCTCTTCTTCTTCTTCTTCCTATTCTTCTTCTTCTTCCTCTTCCTCTTCTTCCTCTTCTTCTTCTTCTTCTTCTTCTCCTTCTTATTCTTAAGATCACCGTGGGACGTTTTTCCACGCCCCTTGGGCTCCCATGAGGGGGCTCCTCGTCGAGCCCCGGAGGGCCGGCCACGAGAGGGGCTCGGCGGCGCCCCTGCGGGAGGGGCCCAGGCCCGCGGGGGGCCCACGCCGTGGAGCAAGAGCTCGCGGCGCTGGGGCTAAGTCGGGCACGTCCTTCTACAGGAGGAATGTTCAAACACTTTCAACAAGTAGTCTGGGAACGACTTTTCTATTGTTTTGTGGCTATTTTGGATCAGTCAAAAAATATGTTATATCATTGTTTCTCCCAGTGCTTGATTTTCGTCCAAAGTCCGCCTGTAGGGGGACATGACCCACCTAACGCTGGGGCCCTTGGCCGGCGGAGCGCATGCCAACAAAAAGGGGGGGGTGGGGCGAGGGGCGCGGCCTTTTTCCTGGGAGGGCGGGGGGGCCTCTTGCAGCGGGATGGGGTCGCCCCTAGGCCTCCTCCCTCCCTCCCCTCTCCTCCTCCTCCCTCTCTCCTCCCCCCCCTCCCTCCTCCTCCTCCTCCTCCTCCTCTCCTCCTCCTCCTCTCTCTCTCCCTCCTCCTCCTCATCCTCCTCCTACTTCTCCTCCCCCTCCTCCACCTCCTCACCTCCTCCTCCCCCTCCTCCTCCTCCTCCTTCTCCTCCTCCTAGGCCACCTCCTCCTCCTTCCTCCCTCCCTCCCTGCCTCCCTCCCCTCCTCCCCCTGACCGCCCCAGGGGAGGCCGGTCAGAGTGAGGCTTCTGCTCGGCATGTTCGACTAGACTGGCTTCTCCCTTTCTTTTTTGATGCGTGCGTTCTTCTTTTTCCACTGTTTCGTCGATTGCGGGTGGCATGTTGTTGATGAGGACGCATCATTCCCATACCAGCGTTGAGCGAACGAGCCCCTCCCCTCCTCCCTCTTCTCCGCCTCCTCCTCCCTCTCCTTCGCCTGCCCATGTACGATTCGCTCCGGCAGCGCACTGCCCGTGCAGACGTGCAGCGCCCGAGCAGCTTCGTCCACGAGGAGGTGGGAAGGAGGAGGAGGAGGAGGGGGAGGAGGAGGAGGAGGAGGAGGAGGAGGAGGAGGAGGAGGGGGTGGAGGAGGAGGACCCCCTCCCCCTATAACTGATGGTGGAGGTGGTAGAAAACGCGCCCATCAGAGGCTAGCCGTGGCCAGAAAAAATCCGTCGCTCCTCAGTTGCTCAGCGTTCAGTGTTCTATCACGATGGGTGCGCGGAGGCCTGCCCAGGGAGGGGGGACAAAACGCACGGGGGGGCCACGCCGGATGGACGGCATGCCGCGGGAGCGTCCGGGGGGCGGGGCAGCACCCGGACCTCGACACGGAGCTCTCCTGCGTGGACCCCGACACGAAGAAGTCCTGGACCCCGGGGGGCGCGGCGCGAGGGGAGGGCAGAGCTCTCGGGCGAAGGGAACTGGGCACGTGCACCGGCGCCGGCCGGGCCCATGCTTGGCCTAGGACCGGTGCAATGTGCCTTCGTTGGCCAAGGCAGGAGGGCGCATG